ACTCCTAGGCTCAAGTGATCCACCGACCTCGGCCTCCCAAAGTGCTGGGATAACAGGCGTGCGTAACATGTACGACCTGCAAGAATCATACTAAAATACTGGAATTTGTATTCAATTGCATGTAAATGGACATTAAATAAATAATTTAATTGAAATCCATTGGTTAAACACAATTAAAAATTTGGCCAAGCACGGTGGCTCACACCTGTAATCCCAGCACTTTGGGAGACTGAGGCCGGTGGATCGCTTGAGGTCAGGAGGTCAAGACCACCCTGGCCAACATGGTGAATCCCTGTCTCTACTAAAAATACAAAAGAAATTAGCCAGGTATGGTGGCGGGCACCTGTAATAGCACTTTGGGAGGCCGAGGTGGGCGGATCACGAGGTCAGGAGTTCGAGACCAGCCTGGTCAACATGCTGAAACCCCCGTCTCCACTAAAAACACAAAAATTAACTGGGTGTGGTGTCAGGCACCTGTAATCCCAGCTACTTCGGAGGCTGAGACAGGAGAATGGCTTGAACCCGGGAGGCAGAGGTTGTAGTGAGCTGAGATTACACCATTGGACTCCACCTTGGGGACAACAGTAAAACTCCATCTCAAAAAAAAAAAAAAAAAAAAAAAAAAAATCCTGACATTTATTTTAGAGACGGCAGGATCTTGGATAAGATTTATAATCTTCATGAGCCTCACTTTTCTCATTTGTTTCATTGGGATACATGACTGCTTGCTACTCCTAATGTGTGTGTGTGTGTGTGTGTTGAGGATTAAATCAGAGAAAGTATACAGAGGAATTGATCCATTGCAGGTGTTTGGAATACATTAGTTTTCTTCCCTATTTATCGATCCCACCATGGCTAGAAAAAAAAAGGGGTGGGGGCCTAGTTGGTGGGTGCTGTCCATGGTAATAGCTAATTATAGGCAGACCCTCTGGGGTCTGCCTCTACCGTCACCAGCACCATGACACTGTTAACTCACCTCCTTGAAGGCATCCCGCATCTCCTGGACACCGATCATCCCAGCCGTTTCTGCAAGCAATTTGGGGGTCATCAGCTCCACAAAGTCATCAAAGTCTACACGGCCACCCACTGAGGAAGATGGCACAGGATTAGCGAGACCCCACAAGCCCCGGCCTTCCATTACCTCACTTTGTGCTTTGAATCAGTTCCAGAAATAGATCAGCTCCTATCTCCCTGCCCTATACGAGCCATCTTTGACTTCCTCCCTCCAGCAGCCAACTCCAAGCTCTCATGTCCCTCTAGCCTGAACAGGAGTGGACAGGGTGCGGTACGTTGGAAGTAACTGTCTGTGTGATTTTCAGACAGTTGGTTAA